GCAGTTCTGGGACAAGGCTGCCCGAGGCCCCATCTGACCTGCGAGCAGCCCTCCCGCGGCAGACCCGATGTGAAGTGGCTTCGGACATGGGTTTCAGCCGGGCCCGGAGCCCCTGGGACACGTAGAAATTCTATGGCCATGTTCAGCTCGATGCGGTCGTGAGTATCGCCCAGCGAATTGAGAATCCTTTGATGCCTCTTTTCTTGCTCTGGGCATGCACGGAACATCTCGCAGGCTCAGGGCGGCGGGCTCCATTCCAGATCCGAGGGTGCCAGGTAGGAGCCTGATTGCTGGCTGTTCCCAAAGCGCTGGCGTCTCCAAACTTGCTCACTGGGATATCCTGGAGGCACCTCACGCGGCCCATCGACCCTTGGCTCTGGGATCCTGGGTGTGTAATCTCCGCCAAAGGCACGTTGGTCGCGGTGGAATCATTGTGAAACGGGCTGTAGAAGCCAGCTCTTGGCTCGCAGATTTGCTCAAGTCTTCTGGCTTCACCATGTCCAATAAAAGCTCGGTCCTTGCCAATCCGAACGCTCTCGCCTCCCGGGTGTTTCCCGCACTCGCTTTGGCTGGCCACATTCTTCGGGGCGGCGCGTCAGGAAAATGGCCTCGGCATAGGCGCAGTAGGCATAGCTCGCCCAGCACCAGTGCTGAAGCAGCGCTTCGCCAAGGCACCGCAGCGAGCTTCCAATGTCAAGCGCGTTGCCAAATCAGGTAGGCGAGCCAAGGGCCTATTTCGCGCGGGGCGGCAGCCCCGGGCTCCCTGGGGATGCGAGGCCCAAGGGGTCAGTCCAACCATGGCCCTTCGAGCCTGCTCTGCAACGGCGGGCATGGTGGGGGGCGGCAAGGAGGTCGTGCAACCGCAGTGCTTCGGCGCGTCCTCAGAGAATTGACGCGCCTCTTGCCGGCGCTCCTGCAGGCCAATGAGCACGAACCCCGCGCGGCCTGGGGCCCAGCTCGGACCAGGCATGGAGACGCGGCCAACCGCTGGAAGCGGGTGAAATTTCTGGTCGCAGCAGTGGTCGCGTGCCTTCACAAAGCAGAACGGCCCCCTGATCGACCGGGCAGCTGGGCAGCCCCCGATGGGAAAACTTTTAACGTTCATGCGTATGATCCCGGGCGACTGCTCGATTTCGCCCCCCTCGAGGCTTTTGATCAGACAGCCCGGAGGACAACCAGCGCACATCACCATGGCAGTAGTCTTCGAGACCGCACTGACTTGTTTACTGCTCTGCCGAAGCCGAATTGACGAAGGTCGCGGGAGCCCATGATCAGGCAACAACTCTAAAACATATATACTCTGGAGCCCTCTGGCCAGCACCCCGTCGGTTCGCAGTGGAAGCCCGACGCCCGTTCCGCCCTAGCGAACGCTCAGCTGGCTCGCAGGCGCAGGGGTTGGATGATGACTTCGGCTCCGCGATCGATCAAGGGATTCGCGCGGTCGAGGAGAAGGGAGAGGAAGATGTCTTATGCGGTGTGTGTGTGTGGCTCGAGACCACTCCTGGGTTCGAATCCTCCGCGAGGGTCTCCCTCTTGCCCAAGGCGTGGGGCCCCAGACGAGACGCTTCTCCGCCAGCTCTGGAGTTGCCCTGCTAATCGCCATATCCGAAGGCTAAAGAAAGTTTAGCTCAACAGGCAGTAGATGGTAGCCAAGAGGCACCAAGCGTCTGGCTTAGAGGCTGGGTGGAGACCCGATCCAAATATCTGAAAGACCCAGCCCGCAGTTGCAAACAGGACGGCTAGCACTTGATGGGGGGTGCGTGATTGGGTCGGATGGGTCTGGGGGGGGACTTGGCTGACCCTAAGCTATGTTGGTGTGGTTGGGATTGTGCGATTCTGCGCTCAGACCAGCTACACCGCATCGGCTGGGCCTCAGGATCCCTCCCGTCCGACCGCCAATCTGTCTCAGCAGTAGGAACTGCTGCGATTCTGAAAGCTGTTCAATGCACTGCAGGGCCTAGTTTCGGTGTCATTGATAATGGAGGTGTTGTCAAAGGAAGCCGAGCGGGTCCGAGGTTTAACCATAAGGGGCTGCGCTTTCTCTGGAGGGATTTCTGGAGAGCAGTCGGTGATCGTCCCATCCAGGTGCGGCACATCCGCTCCCATCTCAGTCTCGGGGATGCCAGGGCCCTAGGATATGAAGAGGCCCTCTGGCAAGTTAATCGCCTGGCCCGCCATGCGGCAGATGGAGCTGCTAGGATGGCCCAAATCCAGTTTGACAATCGTCGCCAGATCGTCGAGTAATCTGAATTCGCTGCTGGCGGTGTCCGTGTCTTTGGATAAGCAGGCGCCAACCCTGTATGGGGCCTCCGCCAGCGGCAACCGCCAGGAAGAAGCTAAGTTGCGTGCTGCCCAGTCTCTTCAGGCCCGTACAGAAAGGCTTGAGCAACACATGCCCACCACGCAGCACAAGAGTTGAACGGTCCTCCCCCGGCGTGTGGAGGTGTCAGGCTTGCCTCGTCAAGGAATATCATGATCCAGGGTCGTTCCTCCTTTTGAACTGCCCTAGGATCCCCGCGTCGGCTCATGCTTCCCATCGGCTGGATTCCTTCCGCGGGGTTGTGTGGTGCCAAGCTTGTGAAGGAACGGGGGCCCCAGTAAGAGGCAAGCTCTTGAAGCTAAGCAAACAATGTGTTCTAGGCCTCACTGCCCATGGCAAGAAAGTGGTCACACGTCGTTCAGCCGGGAAGCCCCCCCAGATCCGAAGGCTTTGCCTGCATGATTCGGTCCTTAGGGTCGCCTCCTGTGGGGGGGATGGGACTCCTGCCTCCTTCGGGCTGCTGGCAGGGGGATGGGACCCCTGCAGCTTGAAAAAGTATCTCTCGATGGAGGCCGACCTGAGGTGTTTCCCTCCCTTTTTCGGAAGCCCTCAATGGACACTCCTCCGTAGCCAGGTAAGAGGTAAGAGGGGGAGGAGGACAAGGAGGAGGGGGAGGAGGAGCAGGAGGAGGAGGAGGAGGAGGAGGAGGAGGAGGAGGAGGAGGAGAGGAAGGAGAAGGAGGAGGAGGTGGAAGAACGAGGATGAGGAGAGGGAGCAGGAGGAGGAGGAGGAGGAGAGGAGGAGGAGGATGGGCGGGGGGAGAGGAGGAGGAGGAGGAGGAGGAGGAGGAGGAGGAAAGGAGGAAGAGAAGGAAGCGAGGGAGGAGGAGGAGAAGGAGGAGGAGGAGGGGAGAAGGAGAGGAGGAGGAGAGGAGGAAGAAAGAGGAGGAAGAAAGAGGAGGAAGAAAGAGGAGGAGGATGAGGAGAGGGAGGAGGGGGGGGGAGAAGAAGGGGGACGAGAAGGAGGAGGAGGAAGAGTAAGAGCAGGAGGGCGCGAGGGGTGGGATAGAACAACGGCAGCGTGGCACCTCAGCCCCACACCCAGCAGCAGCTCCGCCAGCCAGCGCACCTCCGTGGGGAACGCAGGACGGGGAGGCGGGTGTGCGGAGGCGGGCGGCCCGCAAGGAGAAGCAGGGGGGAACGCCTCTCTGAGGGGCTTATTGCCCTGACCTTCCAGAGAGCTAGAACAAAAAAACCTCCAGACCTATAGACCTCTCGGGGGATTTCTCTCGGATGGGGGTTTCTTGCCCTGATCTTCCAGGGAGCTTCAACAAAGTAGCCCTCAAGACCTCTAGACCTCTCTCAGGGCTGCTCCAAGAAGCCTCGACTGGATTTGGGTTGTCGAGGTCCTGGTGCTCTCTCATGTAGCCCTCGAGGTAAGTCAGGGCGGAGAGCAGGAGGTGCGGAGCCTCCCTGCCCTCCCAGCAAGCCGCCTCCCGGGAGAGACCCCGCTGCTGCGCGACCCTGGGCACCGTCGGAAACGTGGCGTTGGTGGCGTAGCCGTGGAAGATCACGGCCGTACCGCGCTCCGGTGCACCCGCGGGCGCCCAGCAGAACAGGGCCAATTTCTCGCCCCTGGAGTTCACCACCGGGTCCAGCGCGACCGGGTCGGCCGCCATCTTCTCGGATAGGAGAAGAACAACTGCATGAACATACACTTCTGGCGCTCCGCGAGGATTTCTTGAATCTGCGCTGGACCCCCTCCCTGGCGCGCGGAGCGCGCCAGGGGCGGCGCTGGAGGCGCCGCTGGGAGGGCCCAGTGCGGATCCAAGAAATCCACGCGGAGCGCGAGCAGTGTATGTGTATGCCGTTGTACTTCTTCGATCGGAGGCGCAGGGCTCTGACGGCGGGGCGGGTGCCGAGGGCTTGGGACCGGAAGGCCACGGAGCTCTCGAGAATGCCACCGCGCTCGTCCCTCCTCCACGGCAGAGCTCCAAGGACCATCGGCTTGAGGGCACGTCTTCCTTGCTTCTCCCTCCACCTCCATCCTCCTGACGCGGATCGGAAGACGCGGAGCGTCAGGAATGTGACCGATTGTTTCACCCCGTGGAGAACGATCGGCCACCAAGCGGCACAGGGGACGCAGGCCCGCGCCTGGGTGGGTGGTCGGGGGCACGCTGGCTACATCCATGCACTGTCTGACTCTCGACTGGCACGGCTGCGGAACGAACTCCGCGTTCGCCCCAGCAAGCCGAGGGGAAAAGACAACGGTTGACAGAGTGTTCCCATCCCGGGACCTTGGGAGCGGAACTGTTCAGGCCCATCCTCCCAGCACAAAGGGCCATGGGACGAGAGCACAAAAGTACAAGGGACTCTTACATAACGAGCAAGAGCTGCCACAACATCAACCGCAACTCCCTGGATGATTACAATCGCGTCCGGGACAAACGCCCTCCGCTCCGCTCCAGGACTCGTTCTAGGCGAGACTTGATTGACATTGCAGAATTGCACAATGTGATTCATGATGCCATGATGCCGCGCAACACTCGGCGGTACACAACATTCAACACACACTCTGGCTGGCTGGCCACCGCCTCTGAGTGGCCTCTCGGGGCCGAAGGGGGCCTGGGACGGAGAGGGGCGACTGGTAGTAGAGCCACCATTCGAATCCTGAGTTCGTCCGCCTCAGAGCCTCTGATGCACCCATGACGATTTCGGCGTATACACCGCAGCTAAGTCACAGTCGTGGTTGAGGAGCTGGTAGTCGAGGACGTGGTTGTGCTAGTTGTCGAAGTGCTGGTTGTAAGAGTCGTCGTAGTCGACCTCACTACACGTCAACACAACTCCTCGCCCTGCTCAGATCCAAGGAGTATGGCAACTCGCCTTATCCTAACGCCTGCATGTGTGGAAACGACTTCCTAATCGAGGATGTCAAGGGCGTGTCTTACCGTGCCGCGTACCCGCACATCTGACTGCGCACAGGACTGTTCGCTCTACCCTGCGTGACATTGGGCGAATAGAACGAAGCGGAAATACCTTGCCGTGTGATAACCCACTCCACAACCGGTTGTGCGTAAACCTTCTTGCCCATCGCTCGCTCCCCCCTCTCCTCCTCCCTTCTCCTCCTCCTCCTTCTTGTCTTGTTTTTTGTTCGCCTCCCCTTCACCTTTCCTCCCTCCGCTCCTCGCTCTTCCTTCGCCTCTTCCTCCTCCTCCTCCTCCTCCTCATCGTCCCCCACCTGCTCGGACCAGGCTCCCAAAACAGCCAAGATCTACTCCATGGGGGAGGGAGGGGGGAGGCGGGGGGGAGGGCTTGCGCCGAGCGGCAAAACAATGAAATAAAAACGATCACAGAACGCGCGTTATGTGGCTAGGTGGGTGGATGGGTCCGCTGGTACATAACATAACACGTTGCGTTGCGCGCACTACGAACAACATGCTTGCGCGCCAAACCACAGGCGCTGCTGCCACGGGGGTATGGGTGAGGCGGAGGGCGCTCTGTGATCTACTGGGTGGGTGGGTGGGTTGGAGGTCACATAACAGGCGTTATGTGCCCGAGTAGAACAACTTCAGCTACAGCGTGCCCAACTGGCCTCAGATCCGAGGGCTGCAGCAAAACTTCGTTACGACATTCGTTTCGCCAGGAGACTGCTTTCAGGTCCAAAATCCGTCAACCTCATGTGTTGTTCTTTGTCCAAATAAGAAGAGGTCGATCTCTCTGGGGCTCGCCACGAAACAAGTGCAGCGTCGGAGGAAAGAAATCCCACTGGGAGGGGCGTTAGCTGAAATTGCTGGAAGCGAAGGCACAGCGGATACGACCGTGACGCGACCGTGACCACAGGCTGCTGGCTCGAGAACCAGCTGCCGCCTCGACTGCGTCTGAGGAGGCGCGCACTCGGGAGAAGTAAGGGGCGAGAAGGATAGTAGCACAGAGGAGAAGGCCGCCGAGCTCGGAGAGGCCACGGCAACCGCGCAGAGCCAGCAAACTGCGGAGAAGGCAGCTGCTGATGGTACGCCTGAGTAGAGGAAGAAAAACGGCGTAAGCAGAACCTTGTGAAGGTCCGTGCGGATTTCTTGGGTCCGCGCTGGACCCCCCTCCCCAGAGCGCCAAACGTGTATGTCTACGCCGTTTTCTCCCTTCCCCGAGCGAGGCGACCAGTGGCACTCAGCACCAGTACCGCCGACGATGGTGGCCACAAGGCTGGTGCGGGCTGTTGAACAGGGACTGGCCGTCCCGGCATTCCTAGAGGCCTACCACGACATGTTCTTAGAACCCCAAAATGTTCTTAGAACGAAGAAATGTTCTTAGAGAATAGAAACCACATGCGTTGAAACAAGCCAGTCTCAGCCAGAAATGTTCTTCTTGCAGACCACGAGAGGTTAGTAGGACGTTCTCTGGAAAGCCTATAATTAGGCCGGGCGCGTCCCCCTAAAAGGGGATTTTGAGAGCAACATTGAAAACAGACAAAACGTGCTCCAAACATATTAATAAAAACAGTCAAACAAATGGTCCCCGGACTAAACTATCTTTTTGTTATTTTTGAATTCTTCCTCCTGTGGAGGGACGGGCCCGCCTTGAGCCGACAAACGAACCAGGACGCCTGACCGCTGCTTGCGGGGTGGGGCGCGGCGCCCGGGGCGCTGGCCGAGCCGGCCGCCCGGTGCCCCGCGGCAGACGGGGAGCGCGCAGCCGGGCCGCCACCCGCCGCGCGGCCGCTCCGCCGCGGATCGCCGGGGAGCCGGCCGCGAGCTCCACTGCGGGAGGGCCCGGGATCGAATCGGGACGTCGGATCGGGGCTCGAAACGGATCGGATCGGAAGAGAAATCGGCAGCCGAGCCGGGGCACGCGGGCACGCGTCGAACATCGGTGGAGATCGGCAGTGCAGCAATGCCTCACTGAGGAATCGGGACCCACATCGGAATTTGACCGCCAGGAATCGGGACCCACATCGGAATTTGACCATGAAAGTACCGAAACGTGAAAGTTTCCGCTTATAGGGCCCGGAGAGGCGATACTCGCTCGACACTGGTTCGAAACCTTCCTGGGTGATCAAAATTAATTCGGGGATGTGGTCCCTTCAGAACGATGGGGGCAACGCAAACCCAAAATCGAATCCGAATCGGAATCCATCGAAATCGAATCGAATCGGAATCGGAATCGGGATCGAATCGGAATCGGATCGGAATCGGAGGAATCGAGACGAGCCCTGGGGAGGACGTCGCCCCGAGGCCGAGGGCGCCGCCCCGAGCCTCGGCAGCGAGCGCCCTGCGGCGCCCACGGCATCGGGGGAGGCTGCCGCGAGCTCGAGGCGCGCCCGCCCAGGGCCCCACCGCGCTGACCCCCATCGAATCTGCCCCCCCCCCGCCCTCCCACACGCACCACCTCCTCTTATTATTAGCTTTACCATTACTATTGTTATCATCATCGTCATCATCATTATAAATCGTATTCTCATCATTAGTATTAGTAGTCTTAGCATCATTCGTACTATTGTTCGTATTATTAATAATATTACCATTCGTATTGTTATTGGTTGCTGTCTTCTTCTGATGTTTCTTATGATTGTGATTCCTGCCGTTTCTGCCGTTTCTCGCTAAGCAGCGTCTTGTCTTGCGCCCGCGGCGCGGAGCGCGCCGCAGCAACCCATCAGGGCCGTGCGGGCACTCAGACGGCGGCCCCGGGAACCCGACCCCGAGGGAGAGGGAGGACCAGGGACCAATGAAAACCACGGAGGAAGGGAAAGGGGCCGGGTTTTCAAAAAAGAGGGCCCGACAGGGCCCTCGGCAGGCGCCACGCGCGCCCGCGGCCGCGCGCTCGCGCCCGCGTGCGCCCGCAGCCGCGGACGTCCGTCGCCCAGGCCGTCGGCCTCTTCGTGGGCCGTCGGCCGCACGGCGGCGCCTTCTCGAAGTTCACGAACTTGTGGTACTGCTTGACCCTGGAGTACGTGAACCTGTGGTACTCGACCCAGTCGTGCAGGCCAAGTGGTGCTGCTTGACTCTGCAGTGCTCGGAGCGGTGCTTCTCGCTGCAGCCGTGCTAGGTCATCGTAGTACTGCTTGGCTCCGTGGTTCACAAGCTGTGGTACTCGACGCAATCATGCTGGCCGTCGTAGTACAGCCTGAAACTGCGACGCCAAGCCTGTGGTACTCGACCCAGCGTGCGTGCATCAGTTGTCCTCGATCATGTGGTACCCGACGCGGCCGTGCTGGTCGGCGCTGATGTCGGGGGGTGGTTGTAGTGTGGATGGTCGGTTGAGGGGCTCCCCAGCCCATGAAGTTGCTTATCGTGCGTGCTGGTTGATGGGTCGTTGGGAGGTCGGCTTGTTGCTGGTGTTGCGGTAGTGGTCGTGGGCGCACATATGAGGCCTCCATGCACCGACTTCAAGTGGGGGTCGTGGCTGCCCCACCTCGTCCCGCTATGGCTAGGGGTCACGGTGCCCTCGGTGGGGGCGAACCCCAGGCCTGGTGCATATTTTTGTCGGAGTGGGATGTCTCGGCTGTCCTGCGCTTCGCCCATGGGCGCTCGGGTAGCTCCTCCTCCGCCATGGGGGCGGTGGGGGTGGCGAGCTAGGGCGGGCCGCGGGGGCGCAGGTAGTGGGCGTCCTACCCCCCCCCCCCCCCCTGCCCCTCACCATCCCCCCTGGCAGGCGCGGGTAGTACTCGTCCTTCCCCCCCACCCTTCGAGCCCGTCTCGAAGTTTGATCCATGCCTCACCAGGGCAGCGTTGACTTGTAGAGAGGTGTGGCGGGCCGTACAAGGAATGTGGTTGATGTCGGTCGGTGGTGCAACATGGTCGTAAGAGTCGCCTACCGTCAGCCTGCTGGTGGCCACTGAGTTGTATACGTCCGATCACCGCCTGGATACTTACAGCAAAACGTAGCGACTTGTGCCTGGGGTGTTCCCACGCATTCGGGGCTTCCCCAGGGCTTGCGCCCTAACGCCACAAGCAAAACTTGGCGACGCTGCCAGAGGTCTTCCCACGCATTCGGGGCTTCCTCAGGACTTGAGTCCTGACGCCGTGGTGCTTGTCGTCGAGGCCGCCCTTCGCCGCGTAGTGCCCTGTAGTGCCCGCCGTGGTCGTGCTCGTACCTGTGGTGCTCGACATAGTCTAGCTGGAACAGGTGGCCGTGCTTGACTCAGTGGCGCCCACACCTGCGGTGTTCGGCACAGTCGTGCTGGTCGACATGGTGGTGCTTGCCTCAGCGCTGCGCTGGCCTATGGCACTCGGCTCCCACATGCAGGTCGTCGTAGTACTGCTTGTGCTGCTTGCCTTAGTGGTGCACACGCCCGTGGTACTCAAGTTAATATTGCTGCCCATCTGCCAAGAGATACCAAAACACGTACAGTGATAGACTGGGCGCTTTGCTGCCTTTGCCCAGGGAAATAGATGCGCATAGAAAACCAATGCCAGAGCTGCATGATAAAACCAACAAGTATACCAATAAGAATACTCGAGGGGAGGCACGCTCCGTCGCCTTTGAGGGATCGTGCCCACCCGCATGGGCGCTACGGGCCCCCCCCCTCGAGAATGGCACGCCATCGCAGTCCATGAAGAAGCCATGCTCGCATAACCATGCGTTCGTGCTGGTCACGCCAAATATTGAGTCCGTAAAGTCAGTAGATACGCAGGCCCTCGATCGCTCCGTCGATGAGTACTGCAAGATAGTAATCCAATCAGTCCACTGGACGTGTTGCAAAATCTGTAATACTGCAAAATATCTGTTCATTCACGAATTAGTTGTGCAGGTCGACGTGGTACTGCCTGAGCATGTGGGCCCGAACCTGTGGTGTTCCACCCCACCGTGCTGGTCGCCGGAGTACAGCG